ATTTCTCCTGTTTTGGCTTCCTGTTAAATCCAGAATTTAAAATCCTGCTCCTCACATACAAAGTACTGAATAATGTCTGTCATGATGACCGCCCCTCCCTGAGCCTTGTTGTGCTGGGGATTACTTCCTTTTAAAAGGGTTTTTTCCTTCCCACTGTTGCCAAACTCTTGCTCATATGATGTCATGTGATCTCTGGGGCTTGTTCTCTATTATTATAAGGTCTTAACTTACAATATAAAGTGCATTGAAGCAATTGCTGCTGTGATTTGGTGTTACACAAATAAAATTCAATCAAGCTGAATTAAACTGAACAGAATTGAATCGACACTCTTGAGTCTTCCGGCTTTTTCTGTTTTTCAGGAGCTATTTTTCTTCTTCGTTATCGTGACCACAGAGAATCTGAGTGGGTTGAACTCTTTGCCCTACTTCTCTCAGTCTCATTAATCAACAAGAACATGTTTTTAACAGAGTGTTTTTCTTCATCCTGCTCCTCTTCTTCCTCCTTGTCTGCCACCTCTTGCTTGCGACTTCCTCCTCTGCCTCTCAGTCTGGGTCCGCCAGCTCACCCCAAACTTTAAAACAGCAACAAGTGTGAACATTTCTGTGTCGCTGTGTGAAACTGAAAGAAAAGACATGTGCTGACACTTTATCGCCCGCCAGCCGTGGTCACTGTTGTGCATTACAGTGCAAAATGTCTGCTGTTTAAGGAGAATGAGTGTAAAGTCCTGCAGAGGCTAAGGAGCGCTACAGACGACTGAGAGGAGGATGAGGTTTAAATTAGGAAAAAACTAAATGAGACACAAAGCAAAAGAGTAATTTAAAGTGGATCATGTGACACAGCATGTGATATGATATTTGGGTGAAAATGAGCATCCAGGTGTTACCCAGCTGTCAGCCTATCAGGCTCCAGCTAATCGTGACCCTCAACTGGAATCGTGGTTAAGAAAAGAAATGGACGTTACAGTTGAAAATGATTAAAAATGCAAATTTTTGATTTGCAAAAACATAAAAAACATAAACAAAAACATACCAAGTGAATCATTTTCAAATATAGTTTATGGAATATTATGATTATCAGCGGTGGGCTCGAGGGCCTGGGTGGATGCTGTCACTCTGCTTCACCACACCGTCCACGGTGCCTTGTTGTGCTATTTAAAGATGAACTTAGATTCTTGTGGAGCTTTTTGTACATGTAGCATCCATCAGTCCATCTCAGCTGTCACAGGCAGAAGGCAGCTACACCCTGCACAGCGCGCCGTCACCTACGTCCAGCTTAGACTCACCAGCTGAGCTAACAAGCACGTCTCTGCAGTGTGGGAGGGGAACAGGCCACGCAGACACCACCAACCAAGACCTCCACGCTGTGAACTTACAGTTTATATAGTTTCTTTAGACTTTCTGTAACTTGTTCTTTCTTACGTTTCATCTCTGTTTATGCTCTGATTGGTGGAT